CTGTCTCTGAAAGTTATCACACCCAGAAAGCAAAGGCCTTGGATGCACACCTTCCCAGCCTCAAGAGAAGAAAACTGGGTCAGTATTGTATTTTAAAAATGCATTGCCATCAATCTGTTATCTTTCTGTTCATTATTTTATTCATCTGTCAGCCCCTTTCAGTACTTTTTATAAAGGCTGAGTTTATAGTTGAAATTTTAAACCTGCAGAACTCAAGAAACCTCACATCTTAAAGGAAGGGTATTCTGCATTACACACCTTTTTGAGTCTTACATTATGTTCTAATCTTATTCTCTCGTCATAAGCATACATGGAATGTTTTATGCATGTTTGAGAAATCAAAGTCAAATTTCTTTTAAGTTATGTTTGATAAATGCTTCTTATGCAACTTAAGGTGACATAGTTACATTATGCTTCGTGCCCTGAAATAAAGCATATAAAAACACTAACTTCTAAGGTCCAGTACATATTTTCACCTAACCTAACAAAATCACTTTCTTCCTCCTTTTTTGTGTTTCTTAACTGTTTTCTAGCAAAAGTTCTAGGTTTTCTTCTTATCCTTTTGTGTATGACATCATTAACCAAATAGAAACTGCAGGCAAAGGAGAAAATCTGACACATTTCATGTTAAAATGGCTCTTTCGTGTGGCGTGTTTGTGATCAGATGAGCAGAGCAGAGCTAATGGAGTGGCGAAGCTGTGCATCGCCTATGAGAGTGAGGTGCAGGAAAGTCAGAGGAAACCAACCAACCTGCTGGACGCTCTGAAGAGAGGTGACCGGTGCTCGGAGGACGACAAGAGCGATGTTGGAGAGGAGAAGGTGGGCCGCTGGTTACTTCGTGATCAGAATGGAGTCACAATGCTGTCATTTCAAATAATTTGTGGACTTTTTGCTTCTGAAGGTCAGCCGCTTGTCCACCTTGTCCCTCCAATATGACAAGAAGATGGAGGACGAGTTGCGGGGAGGGAAGCGGAAAATCAAGCTGATTCAGGAGCAGGTACACGTTACACCAATGATTAAATCCTGCTTTTTCTGACCAGAAGTGTTGAACCCCGGGTTTTCCCCAGAAAATGTGCTAAGCCCGGTGTTCGGGGCACCAAGTCTCAGAAACAACAACAAAAAAACTCAGAATAAAATTTGCTCTTCTGTTAAATTCTAAGTAATCAACCAGTGGCTCAACCAAGGTCTAAACAAACTCAGCAGCTGCTTGTTTCATTGCTTCTCTCCCAACTTAAACATGTTTGTATCAGGATCTGATCCTCTCATTTTTCTACCTGGTTCCTAAAGAAAGCGAGTGTCTCTGAGGATGGGTCAGAGGAGAGTAAGGCCAGCAGGGCCAAACAGTTCCTGGCCGACATGAAGAAGTCTCTGAGCAAGGTGAGCTTCGACCACATCGTCCAGGCTCTGCAGAGCTACAAGAAGACAGATGACCTGAGCGTCCTGCTGACAGAGACGGCTGTTTTGGTAGAAGACCCCAACACTCACAGCCTGTTCAGAGGTGCGTTGTTCTGCCTCAGACTCTGGAGTCTGTAAAAGCGTGTCTGCTCTAACCACGACTGGTTCCCTGCCGTAGGGTTCTACCAGTTTGTTCGTCCACATCACAAAAAGACGTTTGATGAGAAATGTCAGGAGCTGGTGGGTCAGGGCTGTGGGTTCAAACCGGAGCACTCGCTGTCTAAGGAGAAGAAAGCAGAGATTCTGCAGACAGGTAGGAAACTGAGCCACTTCTCTTTGTGTCACTGATGGAGGCTCTGAAAAAAGCCTAGACGTGAAAATAATATCACTTACTGCCAAAGCAGCCTGACTCTGGATCCCGTGTATCTGGAAACATGACAGATTTAAGAACAGGACAAAAATAAATCCATCTATCTTTCCTTTTGTTAAAATTGAACATTAGGGGTATTTTCTCCAACGTGTGGATGATTTATCTCTACATTTTATTGTGGTGTTGTTACAAAAAGCCTGTCAGTTCTGCTTTTTATTCTGTTTCACTTTTCTAGATTTTCTAGTTGAGGTGGTTCAGTAACTGGAATTACCACAAAAATGAGAAAACGATCAACTATCAACATTCAAGCTGGATATTGTAAAACGCTGAATTAGACAGACTTAAACCCGCTGACGTGCTCACAATGAGATGACTGCAGTTAAAACACAACTAGGAAGAAAAGGTGCTTAATTAACAAAAAACTGGCAACATAAAATATAATTGTTGATTAATTGTGATGCAAAGCAGCTAGTTCTTTGCAACAGCAAGAAAATATTACATTTTCAACTTACTAGAGAAACACTTCTGAACCACCAAGAACAAATCGTGTTCAAACATTTAAAAAATGTTTGAAAAACGCAAACATTTTTCAACTTGCTTGTGTTGCATCCTGGGAACTGTTTGGAACGTGACTTCCATTCGTTTTGTGGAAGTTGAGGGAAGGCTACAGCAGTGATCTTGATGGAAGGGGAAAAAAACCCCAATGATCATTAAAAAGTATAAATTTACACTTATTTCCTAGAAACAACAAGTTTGTGGAAACTGACGTGTTTGTCTTCCAGCTGTAGATCACCCAGCGGTGGGAGCTGTGAGCTCCAGGTCCACATGCAGTCAGCTCGACACTCAGCAGCTCAACAGAGGAGGACGTCACCTGAGCCAGCAGGGATTAAGAGCAGCTCCATCTGGTAGGAGATCTTAAGCCGGGGCGGCAACTGGTGTGTTTGACCATTTTGCCTGTCTGACAGTCATTATAGCTCTGAAAAGCCAGTTTCTCAGCTTTCGACAGTAACACATTCGATTAATCTGAAAATTTGAATGCATTAGTATTACACAATGCAGGCTAACCAAACTACCTACTTTGACCTGAAAGCCTCTCTCCCAACGAGGGTTATGCAGTTCACAGCAGAACATTATGGGAGCAATGAACAACAGCGGAAGGTGATCGTTTTACACAACAGCAGACAGGAGCGCATTTTTCAACTTGCATGTGCACATTTACATATATGAGCTCGAAATTTTACACGTACAAATTCTGGTGATAATTTTGCTGTAGGAGGATAAGGACAAGTTCCTTATCACCCAAATTCTGTAGGAAATGAACGGAGTGGGATATTTCTGAATGAATGCTTAAAACAAAATGACTTCCTTTCAGTCTTCCTGAATATAAAAACCTGGAAAGCTGAGAATCTTCAGACATGTTTGGTTTGAAACAGTAAAACATTTTTGAAAGCATGCATATAGTGGTTTTTGGTATGAGTTATGTGGGCAGTTGTCCAGGGCAGCATCAGAAAGGTGAGATACACCCAAAAACTCTCAAATAAATCATTTCTCATCTGTCTGTTTCCCCTGAACAGGTTTGTTTCTATTTGATTACATTTAAAGTGAAATAAGTTTCTCTTAATTTCTGTTGAGTACTGGGAGATTACATTACCTGCTTTCTGCTACAAAATTTAAAAAAAATTTAAAAAGTGATTAAACAGAGCTAGAGTGATTAATCTGGTTAAATTAACTGGCAGCAGTAGTTTTTTTAAATAGTTCAGCTGGAAAATTAGCTGCAGGATGGATGAATAAGCTCACTGAGCCTTCTTACGGCCAGGTTCTGACCATAAGAACAAGAGTCACGCTACCTTCCTGGCTGACGTAAAGAAAGCCCTGGGACCTGAAAGATCCGCCCAGCTTTTCCAGGCCATCCAAGGCTACAAAAAGACGGACGACTACGACAGTCTGGTGACCACCGTGGTGAGCTTATTCACAGAGAGGGATGAGAACTTCAACCTCCTCATCAGTAGGTTCTGCCTGAGTCCTCCACAGATCTCCTGGCTTCTGCATGCTGGAGATTTGACTAAAGATGTGTGTGTTGTGTGTTTTCAAGGGTTCGGTGTGTTTGTTCGCCCTCGCCACAAGAAGCAATACACAGAGATGCTGGATGCTCTGATTGGTCCACCCGTGTCAGTCGCTGACGGTCCTGCAGTGAGTAAGGAGCAGCCCTGTGCAGGTCAGGATCCATCAGTGATGTTACACATGTTTTTCTGAGGAATCCGCCTGACTTTATGTCTGGTTTTCAGTCTGTTGCAGTTCCACATCATCACAGCTCCATAATGGAGATGATGTTTCTGTCTATTGGATGAAAGTTTAGGATTCTGTTTTGTTTTTCAGCTCCTCTCTCACCACCTCTGAAGAGTCAAAGCAAGATTTCCAGTTTTTTCTCCAGCAGTGAAAGAAAGTCTGATCTTTGACACTGGACTTTTAGAAATGTTACACAACAGCAGCTCAGATCGCTTGTCTGCTTTGAAAACATCCACTAGATTTATCATTTTAAAATAATGTTTTTAATTAATGAATTTATAACAAATAAAATCACTTGTTTTCACAGATTATGTGGAATTAGAAAGTAACCTGACGAGAGCCAACCGGAGAGAGGTTTCAGCTCTGAAGCCCAGGCTTCAGGAATAGGCTTTTTAATATAAATGTATATTTTTTCTTATTTGTATCAGTCATAAAAAGTTCAAATTATTTTTTTTATGGAATGAAAATAAATTGATGTTTCTGCTCATGTTTCTATTATGTTTACTACTGTTTAAATAAATTAAAAATAGGATTTTTTTTTTTTGTGATTGTTATCTCAATGCAACATGAGTGTCACTCTCATACACAGTGGGCTGAAAATAGAAACATGAAAAAAAAAGTCTCAGGCCAGCCTTCATGAATTGAAAAATGTCTAACTGGGGAAGCTTAGAAGATTAATTTATTTTGACCCCAGCGGTGTCAACAAATTAAATTTGTACTTTACGTTTTCTTTATATTTTAACTGAAGCTCTTTCAGCAGAGTAGTCCTCTCTCCTAACATCCTGCTTTGTAGAGGCCTGTGCTGTGGTGCCAGGGATGAGGATGAAGCTCTGCAAAATCATAAAGTAGGTCACAGATGAAAACTGGCCTACATAACATCGAATGAATGATTTTTAAAAAAAAATGAAAGCTAGTTTTATTCAGTGTCCTCTCTCTGCCAGCATTACAAGCCTCAACTCCTGTCACCGGATAGCTCCTGAAGGTGTCTGGTGACACACTGAGTGCCTTTCTGGAGCTGAAAATCCAGAACTTGTCCATACTCCGGGTTAACGAACTCAAAAGTTTTAATTTAGCCCGCTTTCTACGAAAACCGAGATTTTCTTTTTTTTCTGATGGTCTTTGAATGCGGCATACGTCAACAACATTGAGACCTCGCGAGACTCGGTTTGGCACATCCCGGTACTTCCATCATGGCAGGCAGTAAGTTGGTGTTAGAAGGCAGAGTGAGTGTAAAAAGCTTTCTTTTAGGCCTCAGCGTCGTCCTCATCCCGCTCATTCGGACCTGGTTCGGACACCTGGACTGGGTCTTTGATTATCTGACAGAGACTCCCGGGAAAATTGCAATTTGTGTCCACATTGCGGCTATTAACGGCCTTTTGCTTGTCATATACAGGGGACCAGTGTATAAGGTAAGCACATACGATGCTCTACATCCCGTACATTTGACCAACAGACCGCTGCTCGTGTTTAAAATGTTTCCTGCTTTCCAGTCTGCTGCTGGGACGAGCAGAGAGTTTCATTCTCTGCTTTAGCCTTAGAGCAGGATTAGCAAACCCCCAGCTTCAGCTCGGTGCAGATAATCTTATTAGGCAAATCGAGAAGACAGCTGGTGTTACCTCGCTAAGCACAGGACCTCGGGACATGGCGCTGAAGTGGCACATTAGCAACATATTGTTTTACTTTCGCATATGAAGCCGTACGGAAGCTCAGACGTGCCACTGCTGAAGAACTCAGTCGTGTTCGTAACTTTGTTGAACTGTTCCGCCCACAGAGACCAACCCTGGAGTATGCAGGAATGTTTTTGTTTATTTTACTTATAAACAGAAATTAAATAGTTTCTTTAAAATGACAATAAGTGTTCTTTAGTACATACTTATCAAAGATTATAGTTGTTGTTTGTTTTTTTTAGAAAGTCTGGTATCTTTAGCGACTCCAAAAGGGTTTTATGTAACTGGACTGGAGGCAAAAAGGACTCCTTCTCACCCTGTTGATCACATGTTTTCAAAGCCCCAAAGTCCAAACAGCTCTGGAGGCTGCTTGACCCCGATCCGTTCAATCAGTGTAATGAATGGTTAAGAAATGGATTCCCAGTAACTCTGGTGGTCAAGTTTACCAGAAGTTGGTATCCTGAGGCACTTGAGCCTTTTTGCTGCATTTATTCCCTTATGTTCTACAGAAGGAAGAATAAAAGTTTAGGAACTAACTGCCCCACAGCATGAATAGTTCCTGTGGATGTCAGGCCATCAGTTCAGTTCACAGCAGTGCACCATGGAGCCTCATGTTAAGCAAAGATCAGTAAAGCTTTCACCGGTGGCATCTCAGAAGCTCCATACTCAAATTTTCTCAATGACATTAACCAATTAAGATTTTAAGGGTTTCTGCATTTACTCCGATTTTTTTCCTTCATCATGTTAGGCCATTATACTTGACTTCAGCTCAAATTCAGCTAAAAAGTACTTTATTAAATGTTGTTGTAACTCGTATCTTACAAGTATCTTGAAAGAGTCATTCTGGACAGAGTTGCCAAGGATCTCCAGTGGCAGTCAGTCTTGCAATAAATCTGCAGAAGCCTCTGACTGAAAACTGTTGTTGCGTGACGCTCATGCTAACAGCTCAATATCCACAATATTCCACATTAACATATCCTGGATGATGACACCATAAGTTATCAAGCTTTGCTAATCCACCTTCTTTCCTTTTGCCGCTCCTCTGTAAACACCGTTATATGGTGTTTATCTAATACTATATAAACGATATAAATACTATACTACAGTAAACACTATTCCATAGTGTTTATGGAGTTTATAGAGTCTCTTTATAGGATATGTTAGCTCCAGCTAATCATCGTCATGAGTACAGAGTGGTCTGATGTTAATGGAGTGTTGTGGCCTGTTGCAGGTCGCAGTGAGAGCCTGCTTCCTGGGAGTTACGTTTGGCTGTGGCCTAATCATCAGCTTCTCTGACACCACTTGGACACATTTTGGCTGGTATGTATTAAATATGAACTGCATTGTTAGTTTTAGTTTTTGTCAATTAAAAAAAGGTCTTACAGCTGTCTCTATCATCACGGGGTTGGATCCTTTGTGACATGTTAAATGCGTCTTTCTCCAGGTACATGTGCTCCCTCTCGTTCTTCCATTACTCTGAATACCTGGTGACCGCCGTCATCAACCCTCGCAGCCTGTCGCTGGACTCGTTCCTGCTCAACCACAGCCTGGAGTACACGCTGGCCGCCGTGTCGTCCTGGCTGGAGTTCACCGTGGAGAAGCTCACTGTTCCAGGTGCTGCTGCCTGCAGGTTTCTGCTCTGTGATCTAACACCTGTTGGCTTGTATGTGGCTTTTATTAACAGGGCGTTTGAGTTTCCAAAATAGAATAAGACGAGCTTGATCTGAGCAGCTGTTTTCAGGAACATCTCTGGGGCAAATAAATTCTAATGTTGCTTTGAGACCATTTTCAATTAATATGTAGATGATGGGAATATAATTCAAGTTTGCTCTCCCAAACACTAACTCACTATAATTTTGTAATGAACACTTTACATTGGAGCTGGAAGATATTTTAAATATTCCAAATGAAACAACCAAAATCAAAATAAAAAGGTCACTCCTCCAGTCAGTGAATTAGATGTTAATATTTTCCCTACATCTTTATTAGATTTTTCCAAAACATTTATGTGCTGTTCCTGTCTCTTGACCTCTGTCTCCTGCCATAGAGCTGAAGCATCTAAACTGGGTCAGTTTGGTCGGACTGGTCATGGTGCTGTGTGGCGAGGGCCTGCGGAAGGCTGCCATGTTGACGGCCGGCTCCAACTTCAACCACATTGTCCAGAATGAGAAAGCCCAGAGCCACGTTCTGGTCACCAGCGGGGTCTACGCCTACTTCAGACACCCATCCTACGTAGGCTGGTTCTACTGGAGCATAGGAACTCAGGTGACACAATTCATGCTGCTCTTCAGTGTCAATGCAAACTTCACTTTATGACCAACCACTTCAACAGGTCCAGTCAGTTATTTACCAGCTGCTGCTCTTCACTGGTCCTCATCCATCTCTGTCATATCTTATAGCTTTCAATGTCTGATCTCTTAGGATTTATGAAAGGTTATCAGAACATCTACAGCATTCCAACATAAAGCTTTTAGATCCACTTTGACTGGTCTCTTGAGATCCACCTTAATGGGCCCCAAACAGGACCGAGAGTGATAGTGGTTGTGTTGTTCGCTGATGAGTGTCCGTTCCTGCAGGTCATGCTGTGCAACCCGGTCTGCATCCTGGGCTACACGATAGCCAGCTGGCGCTTCTTCCGGGAGCGGATAGAGGAGGAGGAGCTCTCACTCATCCATTTCTTTGCCGAGGACTACGTGGAGTACAAAAAGAAGGTCCCCACCGGGCTGCCCTTCATCTCTGGCATCCGGGTCAACTAGTCCCCTAGACCTGGACACGAAGCCCAACAGACTTCAAGCTCCATAGCAGGTCAGACCTGGAGGCGACGTGTGGTCTGCTGTAGCAGCTGCCGCCCCCTCAAGGTGAAGTCGCGGCCCCCGGCTGAGAGCCTGCAGCGGCTGCAAAGGCAGAGCGACGGCAGCTGGGCTGCTGTTTTTCTACCAACATCCAGTATATGAACAGAGAACCTCAGCTGTACACGCATTCCCACTCTCGCCCGTTTCTGTCTGCATGCTGTCACCTTGGCGATAGGTTTCCACTCATCTGCTGGCTGCTTTGCCCGGACCCTTCAGCATCACATGTCAGAGTTCATTTCATGTACTAGAGATGTTTCACAGAAAATGAACAATATTATGTGGAGGGACACGCTTAAGGCTTTTCCCAATCAGAAGCATTTAAATGGACGACGTCTTCTCCTGCTTTTTTTCTACGTCTACTGCTTACTTACTCACCATATTATCAATATCCATATTTATTTCTGACCCCACTCTCTTACAGTGGTAAAAGACGTGACATGTTCTGTCACCTGGTTAGCATCAAAATGGGAATATTTCTATAAAAGCCATGTTTTCTCATGTGCACTTTCTCATTTTGAGCATCTTGTTCTACGTCTTGCAGAAACAATGAAATCTTCTTTCTGGAAAGGAGAAGCAGCTCCAGATACCAACCACAGGTTCTCTGTGGTTGGTTCCGACTGTCTGGCTGGGAGGAGGAGGAAGATGATCACTCTCTCCTGTGATCACCTCCTGCTTTTCTTTCATTTTCTGATATTTTCTAGACAGGGAGAGTTTAATTAAAACAAGAACTGCCTGAAGCAGGGATAGAAAAGAGACCAGCAGGAGATAATTGACCTCCACTTCTGAAAGGACTAAATGTAAATGTTTCTGTAGATTTTTACATCTTTTTTTCTTGCGCTCTCAATGAAACACGCAGCAATATCACATTACATGTGCTGTTTAGCTGAGCAGGGTGTCCTTTGTTACTGAAAACATTGCACAACATAGGACACCTGAACTTTTTGTTTTTTTTTCTCTAAAACTATAGAAGAGCGTAGCGTGGTGAGCCTCTGGTTCTTTTCTGTAATGGGTGAAGCTGTCGGTGTGGCAGAGTTGGGTCTGGGGAATCTTCTGGTGCTCAGGGTTTTGCTTTGTTTGTGGCTGCTTTTCATCCATTTTGTTTTCCAGATGTGTGCTCATCTTGTGGTGTCACCCCGCATCCGTTAGCATCCGTTAGCATCACTTAGAGTCACCAGGGATGATGACTTGTCGTACTGTTTAATATTTAAGCTTTTTCTTTTTTTAAATCAATGATTTGTAACGACTGTAGCACAAACTCAGACGTCCTGTTGGAAGCGCAGTGAGTTCCAAAGTTGTCCCAATAATTCTGTCACACATTTCCATGAATAGTTTGTGCATCTCTGTACAAACCACAAACAGACCAAAGTATTATGCAGAAGATGTTTAGATGTATGCGTGGCGCTTCGCAGTGCTGAGGAATGTTGCGGACATTGCACTGAAGAGTTTGATCTCCACACTTTGTGTTTCATAATAAAGTCTTCCCGCCATGGTTTATAATTCTGAAACAGAGACTATATTAAAGGACGGACGAGGCCACTCTGAGGCGTGGCAGTGGCAGGAGGTCTGCTGTGACTCCGGTGGTGGCGCGTTGTGTTTAGAAGGCGTGTGATCCTCCTGATCCTAGTTGCATTTTGACAGTCAGGTATGCAGTGGCACCCAGAGGGGGCCATGACCCCCGTTGAAAAATGCTGCCTCCCAGTGAATCATGTTCAAAAGGCATACGGGCCATCTTCTTCAATCAAGTGCGTTCCAATTCAATAAAACATATATATATATCTCCATGATTGAAACCAAATGCATGCCCTTGTCATTCTTCTGAGTTTAATATAGAAATAATTTGGTCTCTAAAGGGTGTCTCCTTTTTAGAGGCACCTAAAGGGAGGTGCCCACTAAATATTGGGCTAATAGTAGGCCCAATATTTATTGAGCCCAATAAATATTGCCAATAAATAGCAATATTTAAAGGGGCTAAATATTTAATGGGCTAATATTTATTCATCCAAAATTGAAATGTTTATGTAATCAAGTCAAAAATCTCATTTTATCTTGTCTGCTGTTACCGAAACTTCATATTTGATGTCACATCACATGCTTTGAAAGCTCAGTGACAGGTTGTGCTGATTACACAGCCTATGTTAATCAGTTATCTAACAGTAGCATTCTGTACTATCAGTCCTCTGGCTTTAAAACGAAACGCGTCATGAACCATCAGCTGAATATTTACACGTCATTTGAAAGGTGCTGAATTCCCCTCATTACATTAAATGGTTCATATTTTTATTGAATTGGAACAAACATTAACATTGATGATTAAAATGCAACAATTCAGTGACTACTTGAGGCCCAAACTCCGCCTGTCGGCAATGTTTTCAGCAACTACAGTTTGTCTCAGCTGCTGTTTTCGTAGCTTGACCTCTGAATCCCATCAGAGTTTGATCATCTATTTCTATCAGTCCCTCTGCAGCGCCTGCTCTGACGTCGACTGCAGAGGCGACTCAGTCCCACCACATTCAACAAGACAAAACTCTGAAACTTTGGTCTAAATTTGAATAACAGCTCAGTGAAGGTGATGTTTTTGTTTCTCTTTCAATGTGACACATGTAGCTTGTGGGAGATTTCTGGTAAATGATTAAAGGTTGTGGGCACATACACAGATTTTATGCTGCATAAACAGAGTGGAAAACGGCAGGTTTTCCACTCTGACTGAAAACTGTTGACTGCATTTATTCAGCACTGCTTGTATGAAATAAAGTTGAGGTTATTATCTAAACGGCTCTGGAATTTTTTTCCCTCCTCCTCATAAAATTCAGCATTGTTTAGTGATGGCCAAGTAACAGTGCAATGGACTAAATGATCGCACAGTATGGAATATTATTGCAACAGGTGTCACGGTCTTATGGTAATAAAAAGCATGCAATAAGCAGAATACATGTAAATATTGCAACAAAAAAAAAGATGTAGAGAAGTTTTATCTTAAATAGCATTCATTACACAACATTAAATATTTCAGGCCTTTAGTTATTGTAATGCTGGCAGTGGGTTCCAAGAACTCGTGAAAAATCAAATCAGCATATATTATATAATATATTATATTACATTTTATATATATATAATGTATATAATAATGTAATATATAATCTATAATGTATGTATATATATTATTATTATATATAAAAATACATATATAGTGGTTCAAAGTTTTTCTCGAAGCCAGCCCTTTAATCGATCACAGATAACAAGATACGATCAGTGACTCGGTATTTTATTTTGAACGCATGCGCATTACTGGTTCTTCCTTTCTGCTAGCTTCTCAGCCATGGCGCCTATTGTAAGTGAAGCGCTCTGTTATTACAGTCTTAATTACAGCTCACCAGCCGGCGGTAGCGACCGATAAAAACGGCTGTCGTGACAGTGTAACTGTAGTTTAAGGCTTTAGTGTCATAAAATAGGACTAACGGCCGCTTATGAGGCGGCTTGTTGTTGGTTTGTGTCTGCGGCGGCCTGTTAGCTGTTAGCTCGTAAGTCACCACGTTGTTCCCCTCAGCTGATGGCTGCGCTTTGCTTCTGCTGAGATTAAGTGGCTACCGAGATCAGATGATAAGCTTGGTTTATTATTTTCTTTCTACTCCTGTAGCAACTGAAGCCTGAAACCGAGCCGACCTGCCGTTTATAAAACAAAACCAGACCAGTGTTTTCAGTCCGGTCTTAAAAGGCGTGTGTGTTTGTTGAAAGTGTTTTCTTCTATTAGCAGAAGAAGCAGAACACCGGCAAAGGTGGGAAGAAGAAGAAGCAGGTGCTGAAGTTCACTCTGGACTGCACCCATCCTGTTGAAGATGGCATCATGGACGCTGCTAACTTTGTAAGTTAGTCTCTCCTCGGCTTCTACCCCTCCATGGGCTCTGAACTCACATTCTGCTCGCAGTAACCATCTTCTGATCACGGAACAGATGGGATTTCTTGACGAGATGCAAATTGGCGACCACAGCAGCTTCCCTGTTTGGAAGTCTGGGATTGTGCTCTTCTGAGAAATCAGCAGAAAGTCCGACTGTCTGCAGATGAACATGCAGAGGATGTTGCACAGCAGCTTGACATGAGTGTGTGCTGTGTGTGAGTGGAAAGAGCTAAACAGAATGACTTTAATGATGCGAATAATCAGATGCCCTCTGAACATTAAGCTGAAGTTGGTTTTCTAATGAGGAAATGGCTTGGCAGACTGAGACACATCCTCAGTCTGCTGTGGTTCAGAAACAACATTTAGACTCTTCAAACCTGGACTAGATTGCTGTACGCTACACGCAGAATGTTTCACACCCTGGTTGAGATTTGTGAAGCCTTTGTTTGGTTTGTGGAAGGTGAATAAAAAAGCCATGTTATTGGAATTGTCCTTTAGTCGTTTCCTCAGCTCTAGAGGAAGATCACAAAGCTTGAGGCTGGAAGACGCCACTGAAACACTCGATACGCCAAGACTTTTAATTCTCATCATCAGCAGATCAATCTGAACTGTGAATGCATTAAAATCAGTTGGTGACTGTGACACTCATTACTGTCAGATTCTGTTTATTGTGCTTTAGACCTAAACTAATACCTTAGTGTAAGAAGACGGCTTTCAAAGGGGAAAAAATATGTATATTGAAAAGACGAAAGTTTGATGTCAAAGGCCACTAGAGCCGACAAAACCTTTCAAAAATAATAACGCTAGTTTGTAGTCGTGCCAGCGGAAAACATGCACAGCAGTATTTTCAGTAATATGGCAGCACAAATAGCCTGAAGTTATGAAGCAGTTTGGTTTTGAAGCTCATTGCGTGAGCAAGAGAAGCTGCAGGTCCATGTTGGACAGCCAGACAAGTGGACTCTAACTCTCTTCTGTTAAAGCCAGCTTGTATTAATGACACTGCACTAACACGACCCCCCATGCCACCGTTTTTCAGGAGCAGTTCCTGCAGGAGCGCATCAAGGTGAACGGGAAAGCCGGCAACCTGGGCGGGGGCGTGGTGTCCATCGAGAGGAGCAAGAGCAAGATCACAGTTTCCTCTGAGGTCCCTTTCTCTAAGAGGTGAGGACCAGTCGGTGTTTAGCTTCAGGGTACTGTGGATGAAACTTAAACAGCTGGTATCACCACTGTTTACAACCTTTTTGTGTTGTTTATAGAACAAATACCTTTATAAATGTTTCTTCATATAACAAAAAATGTGAAAAATTCTTTGCTCTGCTACTTTATTAAACACCTTGTCAAAGGTGTTGTTTTTAAAGTGTTGTCCAGATTGCAAACATTAAGTCTATGGACAGGACAAAAGAAAATGCACAATCAGATCAGTAAAAAACCAAACAGTCTTAAAGCCAAGGCATGCTAATGTGTTTTAAGAGTTTTACAAGTGGACAGTAAAGGGGATCCTCTAAAGTGTAGGAGCAGACGGTTCAGCGATCTGGGAGCAGCAACACTGCGAGCTCCATCTCCTCTGAGCTTCAGTCCAGCTGGTCAGCCGGCCTGAGGCATGTGGAGCAGCTCAGAGAGGGAAGTTGGGACAAGACCTTGTAAACGCACAGACATTCAGTGGTTGAGGTGATGAGAGGTGGACACGTCTCCCTCCCTGCAATTCTAGTTACAAGCAGCAGAGTACAGGAGAGGCCTGACGGACGACGGGCTGATTGAAAAATATTCGATAATGTGTATGACTTATGTGGGTCCAGAAGTCATTAATTGCATCATTACGTGGGTTTACAGGAACCAGGTTTTGTTCAGAACAGAAGTGCTGACATTGCAGAGTTGTAAGAGTCCCGTTAAATAAAAGAAAACACAGGAGAAGCTGTATTTCCATCTGTCCACAACATAAACAAGCTGCTGCAGTCTGTGTTCTGTGTCCTCTGGGATCCCAAAATGGACCAGCAACAGCTTCTAATGGTTGAGATTTTACTTCCATGCTAGAGGACTTATTCTGATGTCAGGTGCGTAATGTTGCCGTCTCCAGAATGACCGAGCTCACGGTTCATTCAGTTGAACTTTAGTGATTATGTTTGTAGCTGCAGCAGAAGTCCAGTGTTTGTCTCAGTCTGCCAGGGTTCCTGTGCTCTGAGAAAATCTGGACTGCCAGCTCTGGATATGGATGGAAAATCCTGGGACTTCCAGAGTTTCATCCCTATCCTAGAGTCCTTTGCATTCATTCATTCATTCATGTGTCTGTCAGTGTGCATGTTCTACAGGCTCTGCATATCAAACCTGGCTGTTGTAGAAAGTCCAGAAACAAGTGATTTTTGTGTTGATGCTTGAACGTTTTCCTAAAAAAGAAAAAAGAATGATTTATCTTAACATTTTGAGTCAGGAACATGAGATATGCTATTAATCTCACCAGCAGGACTAACGGGAGCACACATCCACTGCAGAATGTAGACAATGGGAAAGGATAGAAAGAATGGACCATTTTCTCTTATTCCAGAGTCAGAATAGCAGCTATTTGGACTAATAGCTGCTATCCCCACAGAGTCAGGGTTAAGTAACCCCGAAATGAAAAGCTATGACATCCTCCCAGGAGTAAAACTGCAGACAAAGATCCGACACCTTTGCTATTTATCTCCCCCGTCAGCAGAACGTTTCTGGATGGATCGGTGGTGTGTGTGTGTGTGCGTGTCGGCTCCAAACACTAAGCTCACGCTCGGGTTTCTTATCTGTTTTTTTAGTACTTCTATTGATTTAACTATATTGAAACTGATTTTACGGGTCTGTTAGATGCTGCGTTTGTTAACAATCGGGTGAGGAGGTTGGGGTCCTCAGGCATCATTATGACCAACAGGGGACAGAGTTTATATCCAGCTTTGGCTGGGCAGACATTAAATATTAAACAGGCTCCATAGTTATTAGAAACCATCAGGATTCCTGGAGAACACTAACATGATGAAGCTACTATGTGTTGGCCTGTTCACAGTGAAACTGCATGTATATGACATTTAGCATCTTGTCAGATGAATTCATTCCATCCTGGTTGTTTCATTGAAGGAAGATCACAACTGTTAAAAGCTCAAGTAATTTATCTAGAATCAACAGTAACAGTCATTAATTTTTGTGTCTCGTTATCTTAAGTTATTTTTGAGTCTTCAAAGCTCGGCATCAGATTGAATGTTGCTAGGAAGTGTAGTTTGCCATATTAGACGTTCTCTTTAAAATGCCTGAAATGTGAAGGAATTTGAATTATGTGCTGTTGATGTTCATAACTTGTACATGTTATATAGCCATAGCATTTTTACTGGTTTTCCCCACTGTCGATTTCTTGAGCATCAATAATTCTACATAAAACATTAAATGAAGGCACTGTAAATGTATTCTGAAGAAGGCTGTTTTCAAATGGATGTATCATTTTAGCAATGAAGTGATATAATTGTCACCCATTTTTATCACAATAGAACCACAAAATATGCAATTTTCTGTCCACATTATTTCCTCTAATGATCACTGGAACAATGTTCATGCTTGGACATGTTGCTCACTCACAATTCATACAATTGGTGGAATTATTTGTATTTTGAGAGCAATATGTTATTTTGCAGGTACCTGAAGTATCTGACCAAGAAGTACCTGAAGAAGAACAATCTTCGTGACTGGCTGCGCGTTGTCGCTAACACCAAGGAGAGCTACGAGCTCCGCTACTTCCAGATCAATCAGGATGAAGAGGAGGAGGAAGATGAAGATTAAATTGGCGTTTTGTAGGTTTAAATAAATTTTGTTTACAGTACAAAACCTTGTCTGTTTTCAGTCGATAGCATCCTTTCTGTACCAGGACAGATCTGGTATTTTGTCAAGTTGGCGTGTGGCATTCAAGATGTTGGGCTCCAATTGAGGAACGATTGATTTGAGGTTTTAAATTTTACTGAATCGCTAACATTTACCAGTGACATGTAATGCACCAGTTTGACACCATGAAGCTCAATGGAAATTACCTGTGCTGCAAAAACCATCCTCCGCCGCAAAGAGAGAAGCCCCGGTCCGAATGAGGCAGCTTTTAATTCAATGTTTGGATGCGTAGCTTCCTTCACTTCCTCCGCTGCCATTGCTGAAACTACAATTCTGACACAAAATCAACGTCATTGTTCACGACTTTGCCTACGCATTGGCCCGGTCAAATTTGACCTGAGAGAGTCGAGGGGAGAAAGCCTCGGCTGTTGGAGAGAACTTCAATGGCCAGGCTTAAGATTTAGAGAAGTTTAACCCCACATCCCCACAGATTATACATTTATAGAAGTTACATACAGCAGCTTTAAGAAAATTTTTTTATTGTGCTCGCAGGTGAATTATTCAGCTTTTTTTTATTGATTTAAACAAAAAAGCAACATGAGCTCATTTTACATGGACTTTATTTAACCATTGCATTGAAAAAAAAAAAAACAATGTAACCAAGAAATCTCATAAAAATAGAAAGCAGTACAAACAGAACTCTGCCTGATAAGAACAGATCAGTTCTGGAAGTTCTGGCCTGCTTGTGGATCCGCTTTGAGCGTTGGGCTAAACGAAGGCTTGGCGAAGACGGCTCCGCTTATGGAGTGAGTATCCTGGATACAAACACTGAAGGAAGAAGATTAAAGGAATGTAACATCAAGTGGAGTGCACCAGCTCAGAACATCAGCTTCCAAATGTTTGCAATCAGAGGCGGCAGCAGCAGACACCAACTGCCCAACAACCGATTCATCATGGCCTCCATACCCCGAAATGGACGTAGAGAAAAGGCACAGGTATGGAGAATTGGTCTCTGAAACCCCTCAGCAGCTAAAAGCTGCTGTAGCACCGGAAAACATGACATTTTCAAACAAACGACACGAGAAGAAGAAGAACGTTAAAGTGGAAAATCAAACGATACAAGGACTAAATGGGGAGGAAGCACGACTGCAAATCCCGAAGAGCTGGGAGAGACGCTCTGCAGATTCATCGTCTGCCTCCTCTCCCACCTCTCTGGTTTTTAGTGTCCCAATTCGCTTGCAGCCAGTCTGCTGGTAGTTGAGATGTTTCCTGCGCGAACTCGTCTGTCCAGCAGGTTAGCGGGTCGGGAGCGCCAGCTGGCTGAGGCAGCCGGGTTCCTCCTAGATGGTTCGGGGGTTATACTCGGGCAGCTTCTTCAGCTTCTCCTGTTCCTGCTCAGTGTCTTGCCTGGCGATGACCAAGGAGTGGGAGTAGCCCATCACCACCTGGGGAGACCAGCACATTTCAAACATCTGGGACCCGAGGAGCCACCGCTACCACAGGCTGGCTGTTTTGAACAAACTAGAAAGTTTCCACCAGACGCTTTTAGTCCTGCAGGTGTAGCAGTGTGATGTTATTACACTAGATTGTTAAGTGAAAAGGTATTCCGATAGGAAATTCTGAACACCGGCAGCTTTATTTTGAAAGGACGACAGATCCATTGTAAAACAGCGGGTGACTTCCTGTCTCCAAATTATTCTTTTTATTAAAAATTCCATGTGTTGTAAATAAAAATGGGAATTATTATTGTTACTGTTGAACATATTTAGTTCATGGATTGTTGTTTTTAGTATCAGTTTGGAGTTTAAAAATATAAATTAGTGGATTGTAATCTGTGAAGGGTTTTCCCACTCTCCTTCTGCTCTTTCTGTTCAGATTCCGTGGGAGAAGGTATGAAGTTTTGTTTTTGTGTTTAATAAGTGCATGTTAAGTGTAATAAGTGGTGGTTTTATCACTATTTTTGTAAAATAATGTGCTTTGTAGTACTTAACCTTTGTTGAGTTAAGGTTAGCAGTTAGCAGTTCTCTAGCTGCTTTGTACATGAGACATTGCTAATACAAATCCTATATGCATGTGCTGAAGATAGTGTTGTTCATGGCTGAACAGGCGCTGTGGAGCACTGAAAAGAAAACCTGTTCTGATTGGTCGTCCAGGTCAAAGCACCAGACCTGGCGTAGTGTTTTGTGCCGAGTTGCGTTCATGTACCTGCTCGACGTAGACGCCGTCCAGAGTTTTAACTTCCTGAGCAGTTGTGGAGGATTTGGGCTTGTTGTCTCCGTATCCCTAAAAGTCACATGGAGAAATGGATCGATTGGATGTTCTCCCGATTCGCAGCAACACAGCCAACACCATGACCAGAATTACCAGCTCTCCACATGTGGGCGACGGCCCCCAGCTGATTGTGCTCTCATCTGCCGCGATGATGATGCTGCTTTTCCTGTCAAACACACACAACACAGTTGGTTTAGGCACCGCTAAACCCTGAAAACCAGGAGCTGGAAGCGCTTGCCGCAGCAGAACCAGCTCACCCGCAGGCCAGGCTCCGGATCTTCCACCCACACAGATCCTGCACAGCTTTGGGGTACATGGTGGATTCTCTGGAGGTGTTGGTCACTCCCCAGAAGAACAGCCCCCCTGTAAAGCAGCAGACGGTCAGCACTTCATCTACGGCTGGTGTTCAGCTCCGTGTTCTGCTCCTCTCTTACCCATTTCGTTGAGGGCGAAGGAGCACTGGTAGCCGGCGTAGATCTGGGCAGCGCCGCGTCCCGGGAAGTCAAACAGCTTGACGAGTCGAGGAACCATCTCGTCTTTCTGCTCTGTGTGGCCCAGACGGCCGTAGCCTCCGAAACCCCAGCTGAACACCCGCTTCTGGGAGTCCAGCACCAGCTGTCCACACACACACATAACAGTGTCAGGAGTGTTGAAGCAGTCAGTAGAACCAGCAGCCTGGAGGAGGGGCCCTCACCGTGTGGTTGGCTCCACAGGCCACATCCCTCACCACCACATTGGGCACCGGCATGATCTGACCATCCTTGGACTTCTCAATGAAGATAGCAACGCGTCGGGGGATGAGCTCACAGTCAAACTCAATGCGCTGGGCTCGGGCGATAAACTTGCCGTCGCTGTTGTGGCCTGCAGAGACACAGGTCAGTAAGCTTTACCAGCTCACTTCTGGTCCGCTGACAAACCCAGGTCTTGGTTGAGTTGAAGTGAATTCTGGTGTGGTTCAAATGCATATGTGAATGCTAAGCTGCACCAAAAGCAGGAAGCAGACTACTGTACAGGGCAGCCTGGGTAAATACAAAAAAAAAAAACAAGTGCATCTAGCACTAGCAGGAGAAATGGAACAAATGTAGAAAATGTGGTCCCCAACTGAACCAAGTTTACCAGACTATCAGGGGGGAAAACACCCAAAGAGGATCACAGAACCAAAGGACCTATGACCCAGGCCTCACCTAGGTGATGATCAGAGCATATCTAGGTCATTTCCCCAAGTCCTTCCATACTGGGAGCATCTATAAATAAGCTTCTATAGGCAGGTTGTATGAGCCCAGAGACAGAACGATCTGAAACATTGTGACAAGTCTAACTTTTTTCCATTTTAATAGTTAAATGTCCATCATCCCCAGATTACCATCATCCATCTAGGAAACAATCATTGGTAGAGTAAAATAGGCAGAATCAGAGTTTTCACAGTCTGAATGTATTTTATTTTAACCTAACAGCAGGAACAGAAACATTACAAACGACAGAAGTATTACTGCCGGGATTACTGGGAATTTTGTAGTTGTGAACAAGAAAGAGTTAGACGTTCAGAAAGTCTGGAGACGTTTTGTTTTGCTCCCAGACTGTCCATCATGTCCTACAGACTCACTTCACCAAAGCAGATAATGGAATAGTTTTTACCTAACTGTCCATACTCAGGGCAGCCGAACGAATACAGGTTTCCTTTGCAGTCCACCACCATGCTGAACTCGGCACCGCAGGCCACCTTCACCAGAGGCTGACCATTGTAGGAAATCTGGGGGAAAAAGATTAAAATACTGGGAATGCTGGAATCACTGGAGAACCTGGAAGTCTCAATGATTTGTCATGGATCAGGGATGATCTGGATGGAAGCCACACTCACCGGTGCCGGGGTGAGGACTGCATCAGTCTGACTGCCTTGGCCGAGCTGACCCAGTTTGTTTTCACCGAAGGAATAAACGGTGCCGTCCTCTGAGGAAACAGCAGCAAATATGTAGAGATCCAAACACCCCGATCTGTTCGGAAAAACGGTCCAATCGCTGCTGGACCTGAGAGGACCTGCCCACCTGTAAGTGCCATGGTATGATTGCGTCCGCAGGCTGCAGAAACGACCACCTGATCGGCCAGGCCCTCGATCAGCTTCGGAGCCTCCAAACGTTTGGTGTCCCCGTGACCGAGCTGACCTTTGTCATTACGACCTGAGGAGGAGAGAAGGCCGTGGGGGTCAGGAGAGAACTCTGCTGGAGGAGAAGTTCAGACAGTGGGAGCGTCATGGAGCTCACCCCAGCTCCAGAGCTTGCCCTCAGTGGTCATGAGGAGACTGTGAGCAGCACAGGGGCCCGACACCACACAGCTGACCTGGACGTCGTTCAGACACCCGTAGCGGTGAGGACCCCACAGGTTCTGGCCCAGGTTACGGAAAGCAGCTGGAAAACACACAGAGGCCACACAGTTAGGATGCTCGGTAATTAGACACACACCACCTGCTAACTTTATTCTGTGTCCTTCAAGCAGTTTCTGCAGGTTGCAGCAGTCATAATGAATGCTCCTGACCAAAGACGCTCTGTCCTTGCTGCCATTGTGACAGAACAGGTTTTCTCCCACATGTCCAACATTCCCTGGTGGAACATCTGGGGGTTTGCGATATGGCATAAAATACATATTCCAATATCTGTTGTGATGGGTGAAGAAACAATATATATCGCTATCTGTTTTTGGCATGACATTTAAAATAGAAAGGGGAAAAAAAGTACATACTA